TTTCGTTCTATCTTTCAATTATCGCTCCATTCGTCGCTTTAGTCGAAAAAAAGTGGCGAAAACCGTTTGTTCCGTGACCAGAACGGCAGTACGAGGCTTTATCTTTTATTTTTCGAGGAACGGTCGTTTCGAAAGAAAAAGACACTAGCACTATTAATAGGAATGAGTTCGTTAAAAAAAGAAAAAAACTCGCGATTAAATTTCGCGTTAAAATCAACCGATCCTCTGAAAAATTCATAATAATCCATTTAATCCATTTAATGCTGCTCTGTCGACCGAAAATAAATTAATCTCGTCGTGAATTCGATGTAGAGATCAGCCATGGTGTACGGAACAAAAAATAAAAGAAAAAAAAAAATAGAAACAACTGGATTAAAAAAGGAAATATAAGGATAATGTAAAATTACCAGCAATAATTATACATTCAATCGTTATATCTTACGCAAATATACATTTAAATCGATAATATTACATTTGGGGGAGAAAAAAAAAAGCAGAATGAAACAATATACTGCGCGCGCACGCGCGCAAAAATGCAATAGAAAAAAAAAAAGAGTTGAAAGAAATTTAAAGAACGAACGGTAAAAGGAAAAGAAATGGGGATAAAGAAATGTCCGATCGAATATTGATTTCGATGAGACACGGTCGCGATTTAATTGTCTGCAAGAAGGCAGAGCAGCGAGAAATATTATTCTTAAAACATGTACAATGAAACGACGAGGGCGGTGAAGGAACAACGGGATCCGGATTCTAAAGATAAATTTCAACCAGCATGCTTCTCACCTACTGATCATTCGCAACTAATGGATGGTTAGCGATCATTAAAATACTAACTACGCTAAGAATTACTCTCGACATTCGCAATAAGTACTTTTTACGTGTGTACGTGTGTTTATGTATGAGCGTGTGCGTGTAGCGTATATAAAATACATAATCACCGGCAGATGAAAAGGGTAGGGAGAAGAGGAGATAGAGAATTGGAAAAATTCAGGAAAAACAAGGATAAGGATACGTTCGTAAGAACAAAAAAAAGATCGTGGTCTCGTATCGGTAGAGTAGAGTAGGAAGAGATCCAATATCGTCGCGTTCTCGTGCAAAACGATTTACATTTTTCATACGAGATCGCGCGAGAGCGGAATCCTACCTTCCTTTCCATCGACATTTTTGTGACATATTTCAAGTGAAAGGAAAGGAAAAGAAAAGTGAAATAAGAAGAAGAAAAATTACACGAGAAGGAAAAATGAACGAGGGGAAGAAACGAAATAAAAATGGATCGATATTTTCAGAATGTTTTGATCGACTTTACTGAGAGGTGAAGGAGAGTGGAAAAAAAAAAGGAAAAGCGAAAGACGAAGAAGAAGTGGATATGAAAGAGAAATGGATGAAGGGAAGAAACAAGGAAATGATGGACCGATGTTTTGCAATATATGATTAACCGCAAAGGGAAATGGAGGATAGAAGAGAGAAAGAAGGTGGAAAAAGAAGAGGAAAAGAAAAAGTGGAAGCTGCGGGTTACAGGGTACACCGATATCGGGTTGTCTTCGAGGTCAGCATTAAGTACGCACCCATGTTCTATCTTGATACTGCGTACCGTCCCGTAATACGCAGACCGTGGAAAATAGAATTCGGTTGCACCGTGGTCTCTAATCAAATCATTGCCTCTTGCTTGGTTTCGCTAGAGTATATGCGCGCGCACGCGCGCGCGCATGCGTGCGCGTGCTTATTTCGCGATTTATCTCTTTTAAGGCGTGCTTCGTTTTTCTCACACTCTCTTTTGCACACACTCGCTTGCTCTTTTGCATCCTCTTTCTCTCTCTTTCTCTCACGCTCTTTCGTTCTTTCTCTCTCGCTCTCTCAAATTTCTTTTTTTTTTCTCCTTAATCATCTAAGTACCTTCTTATAAGTCATAAATATCACTCGCGAGCTTTGTCGTCGTCGTTAATTATTACGGTACATATTAAGTATATGTTTAAAGTTATATCACTAAAGAATATTACTTGTCGTTTGCAAGAGGATAAACACCTCGAATTTCTTCCGCTCCATTTTCACGCTTTCCTTTCTACACAACCGGTTCTTGCTCTCTATCCTCATTTGGAGCGGAATTTTCTTTCCCTTAATTATTTTCTTTACGCGTACAGATTATCGTCTCTTTTTCTCGTTTTCTTTTTCTCTTTTTTTTTGTCTTTTTTTTTTTCTTTTTAATTCTTTTCTCGCATAATCGCGCTTACCGTATCTCCTTAAACTTAAACAGTACACAGCTTAAAGTTTCAGTAAATCGCTTATTGCTCGACGTTTCTCACATTTGTTTCGGAGCACCGTGTTCCTTTCGTCAATGACGGCTCTCTCCCTCTCTTTCTTCTTTATTGTATCGAATCGCTGCGTCTGTACGCACGAGATCGTCGATCTTCCGCTCAACCGTTCGAAATTTTTGTCGATCGTACGTTTCATAAATAAATAAAACAATCATCGATTTGCGCCTTTTTTAGATCTGAAATTTTTTCACGTCTATCGCGATCGATTCTTTACGTCCCGCGTCGTTCGAGATCCAACCAATGTTATTGCCTCATTGGAAAAAAAGGAAATCGAAAGAAGAAATTGGAATTCTGGTGGAGGTAATATAGGAAAGAAGAGGAAAAATATCCACGAGAGATATTGGAGGGGAGAACGAAGGATCGATGGCGAAGACATTTGTTACATCCCTGACAAAATGTTGGAAGCACGCGAATCGATCGAAAGAGGCGGAAGATCGAACCGCATCTCGATATCCGGCATCTCGAAAAATCCAGGGAACACGGTGCCCACGGATACGTATAAATTAAGTATCGACTCGTTTTTATTACGAACGCCTTAAAAGTCTATCTTAAATCTGTTTCAAACTTACGAACTAAAATCGCTTAATATAACACGCTGAGCTAATCTCAATCTTGGGTTCCTGTTTACCGCGTTGTCGCGTTATTATCCGCGACCTCTAATATAACCTACAAACGAGTATCCCTTAGAAATGTATTTGTCTCTCTCTCTCTTTTTCTCATTCTCATTCTCATTCTCTCTCACACGCACGCATACATACACACACTCTCTCTCTCTTTCTCTCTTTCTACGTCGCGATCGTGTTTTGCTCGTGTTATTCGCGCGCAATTGGAGAAATATTGTCTTCCGTTACTCGAAGAAAAATATATGTATACCTATGCGCTATTCTTATTTAGACGCGTCCCGTCTACGTGTGTTACGTGATTATATCTGTGTCGATATATGCTTGCACGCCGTTATATCTGCTTCTCCCTACGTGAGTACGCGTGGTTGACCGTGCCTGTTTGCGACCGTATGACCGAACGCGAACAGCCGTTTGTTTCCAACGAAAGCGCGCGAGAACGCATCAACGATCGGGAATATATGGTGGAAAAGGAAGGAGAAGGAAGGGAAAAAAATTTAAAACCGAGAAAATATGAGAAGAGGGAGAAAGAGAGAGAGAAAGAAAAGGAAAATAGAGAGACGAACAAACTTCGTTTTTTTGGCACTTTGTTGACCGAGGCGGAGAAGGAGTATGTCGTGAGACAAATAGGAGAACTGCCTCTCGTTCTTGGAGGAGCGGAAGGAGGGTGGTTGTGTGTGTGTGTGTGTGCCGCGATCGCGTTACGTTCCCGCGTGCTTACGTTTTTTTGGGAGTTTGCCAAATATGGCTCGATGAAAGTCGAAGAATGAGATATATATATATATATATATATATATATGTATATATATATAGGATGATTCTCGAAACAAATTTTCATTAGAAAAAGGAAAAAGCAAGAGCGAACGGATCCTCGTTTAATCGATTTGCGAGGTCGTTCACGGCGTAACACATCCAATTTCTTTGCCCTCTATCTCATCTCTGTTTCTCATTCTATCCTCCCCTGTTTTATTGCTTCATGGTCGAGATCCTTGAGAGTGAGACGACGGTCACGAATCGACCGTCGATATCGCTTAATTAATTAAGTAATTAATTACTGTACGGGGTGGGCGCGGTCGAACATATGCCGCGCTTATCGTGTTGGTGGAGGTTGGTGTGTTAATCTAACTAGGAACCGAATGCGGTGAAAAACGCGAAGCACGTGAAACGATAGAAATGGACGAAATAAAAAAGAGATATATATATAAAAGGAATAAAAGTAAAAAGGAAACGAAAAAAAAAAAAAAAAAAAAAAGAAAGAAAATTCGTAAACGAAAGGTGAACGAATCGTGTATATCGTAATAAAAATATGCGATCATCATTACGCGCGACTTTCTCTCTTTCACACATGCACACATGCGTATATAATATTCTCCTAACTTTATTCTCGCACTCAGGCTAATAAATTAATCGACAAGCGATATAATGACAAGTGGCAAACGTAAGAAGAATGACTTCGAATTCAGGGCACTTCCCTCCATGCCCTGGTGTTCAGACTCTGATAACGCTTCCGAGTTCCCTCTCAAACTGTGTGACCGCTCTCTTCTCCTTTTTCCTTCACACCCCACCGCTTTCGACGTCTCATCCTTCTTCGATACCAACACATCCTCGGAGAGTTAGACGTCGTCTACTCGCGTCTAAAGCGGGGAACAAACGAGAGGGCGAGGTATGGGGGGGGGAGGAGGGGGACAGGCGATGGTGAAAAAAACCAAAAAACGAAAAAAAAAAAAAAAAAAAAAGAAAAAGAAGAAAAACACAAAAAAACACAAAAAAAAAATCGATCGTGCGCATCATGATCATCAAGACATCCGCCCGTTTATACAATGCACAGGAAGACAGTCGCGAAGTAGGAGTGAGGGGGGGCAGAAGAAAGGAAGGGAGAAGGGAACCCAGAAAATCGTCCATCGATCGACGAGATGAACGAGGAAGAGACAGCGGACACTTGGTCGGCGCTAAGATCGAAATAGTCGCACAATATAATACACATTCCTGTCGAAGTCGCGTGGTAATAAGTCTCAGAGGTAAGAAAAGCCGACCGCCGAGGCAACGCGAAACACCGCGCGAAAAACGTTTAAACGTACATGCCCATTCCGTACATTGAGCCCCAGTCGACGCCCTGGAAGCTGGACATGTCGACGTTGGTGAGCGAGTAGCCTTGGTAGGGGTTGGCGGGCGCTGCAGCGGCCGCGGCCGCTGCCGCGGGGGTGGCGGCCGCCGCGGCGGCGGCGGCGGCGGCGGCCGCAGGCGGGGCCGGAGCGGGGGCCGGGGCTGCCGCGGCCGCGGCCGCGGCGACCGCCGCCGCCGGGATCGGATAGGGGGCGTAACGGTACGCGGAGAGGGCCGGGTAACTGCTGGCGAACAGTTTGCCGTATCCGGCGACGGCGTTCTGGACCTGGGCGGCCGCGGCCGCGGCCGCGGCCGCTTGAACTTGGGCCTGGGCCTGGGCAGCGACGATCTGCGAGGCCGCGGCGACCGGTAGGGGGGGCTGTGGCGCCAGCCTGACCCCAAGCGCCCCCAACACCACCCTCTTGCCGAGGGTCAACGCGCCCGGTTGGACGGCCTCCTTCGGCTGGGCCTTCTTGCACTCGACCTTCTTGTTCTTGATGGTGTGGAAGTGGATCTCGCACACGCGATCGACCACGTCCTCGTTCTCGAACGTGACGAATCCGAAGCCGCGGTGCCGTTTCGTCTGTTGGTCCATCAGCATCACCGTCTCCTCCACCTTGCCGAATTGGTTGAAGTAGGCCTTCACTTCGTCGCTGCTCGTGTCCTGGCTCACGCCACCTACGAAGATCTTCTTCGTCCGATTCGCCTGTTTCGCGCGATTCTTTGGCGTCGCGTGCTTAGGGTCGATCTTCTTCCCGTCCAACGTATGGATTGGACACTTCAGCACCTTGTCCACGCTACCGGGCTCGGCGAATGTGATGAAACCGAAGCCGCGACTACGCTGTAACCGAACAAGCCAGAACGGCCACGATGCACAACGGCTCTTCCAACTTCCTCGTCTCTCTCTCTCTCTCTCTCTCTCTTTCTCACGTATATTCTCTTTCTTTCTCTCGTTCGTTCTTTCTCTATCGTTCGTTCGTTCGTTCGTTTATTCGTTCTTCCAGTCTCTCCGTCTTTCTCTTTTAATCGTTCTGTCTCAATCTCGCTTTCTCTCTCTCTCTCTCTCTCTCCCTTTCGTTTTTTTTTTGCTTTTCGCCAGTTCGCCTCGTGCAGTCTCGTTTTCGCACGCTTACGCCGTTTCTTTATATAACGAGTGATTCTTTTTTTTTTTTTTTTTAAAGCTTTCCGACCAACCTGCCTAATAATTGATCATCATCGTGGTATCCGGTGATTTGACAATTATTAACCTGTTCGCTGTTTCGCTGAAACTTATTGACATCGATTTCAACGAACATCGATTAACGGTGACTCGAAGGCTCAGCGAACAGGTTAATCGGTTTAAAACGCACGCGATCATCTTTTTCGTTTTGCGTTTTTCTCTACAGCTTTGCTCTCCGAACGAGAAAGCTTTTTCATTCACCGTCGCGTTCTCTTTATATATATAAATATATGTATATATTAGAAAAAAAAACAAAAAAAAAAAAAAAAAAAAAAAAAAACGTATCCTGTCTCGTTTATCTCGATATCGTACTCTGTATGTAAAATATAGGTACCATAAAAATCTCCTTTTATGTACAGTTAACTAAATACTACCAAACTACCGTTTACATGCAAGACTGTCCAAGCCAATGTAAGACAAACATTCTAGGATTACGTGAGACAAGGACTTCGAATAAATATAAGATTCAACTGAAGTTACGGTCGTTAATTGCATCGCTACCGAATACGATAATAATCTATTATGCCCACAGTCCTCGTTCGTGATCTCTTTCGAATCCCGTATGCGAACGTATTCCTTTTTTTTTTTTTTTTTTTTTTTTTTTTTTTTTTTTTTTTTTTTTTATATAGAAACGAGCCTCTGCCTCTTTTCCACCTTTTACGTTTTAAATACATGTTTTAATACAATAAAATACCAAAATACGCTTCTACTTCCTTTACACTGTCTCAGCAATTAGTTACATCGATTAGTACAACTTTCTCTCTACGATCTACTGTGTGAAGTCTCGTGCAAAAGTGGAAGGAAGAAACTGGTGCATCGAATCTCCTCGAGGCGAATTGCGTTTCGATCATTCTTTTTTTTCTCTTTTTTCTTTTTTCTTTTCTTTTCTTTTCTTTTTTATTTTCTTTTTTCTTTTTCTTACGCCCTCCCATCCCATCCCCGATCCCGAATTTTTTCCCCTTCGGCTCGGCCGATAACGCCGATGCGAACGATTTGACCTATCGAGGAGGAAATGGACAAAAGAAATTCAACGAGTCGGTGGCCTGTCCGCGAGCACATATCTCGACATACTTTGAGAAATAAGCGTCTGTCAAACGCTTTCTCAGATCCCAATGAGAAAAAGAACAATGACGAATCGTTCTTTCGATTTAAGAACCGGCGAAACGGGCCACCGATAGAGATGGACAAGCCGACGGAGAGCTTCCATCGAGTAAACCGACCTGTGTAACCGGATCCTTCATGATCAGGACATCGGTGACGGTACCGAACATGCCGAAGTACTCCCTGAGTTTCTCGCTACTGGTCTGCCAGGACAACCCACCCACGAAGAGTTTGCCGGGTGCTGGGTCGCCGCCATTCGGTGTACTCCTCCCGGAGCTGCCGGAATGGCTACCGTTTATAGGCACCAGAGCATTGTGAAAGTCGTGCTCGATCGCACCGTTCGCCGCCTCCATGCCGGCGCTGAAACATATATCGATTTGTCATTGATTAGGCGTAATTGCTCGTTCGTAATTAATCGACGAAATAACTTTTATTATATTATAATTTATTATATTACATTATAACTTTTATTATATATAACTTATATATTTATTATATTATATTATAATTTATATTATAATCGAAATAAATTGAAGTTCGAGCGTTTTATTTAAGGCAACGTAAGATTTTAATTCTGATTACCGTTCCTTGGATAAGTCCAATTAAATATCCATAATTTTATCGTCAATGTTCTCTTTCTCTGATTACTCTCATTGTTCGAAAGATACGTATTATTTTCGATTTCGAATGCAAGAACCTCGTAATATGATTATTTTAAATAACTCATAAATTATTTTATGAAGAAATATTTCATACAATCTTTTTGTAGAAAAGATGATATAATTTGATATATTTTTTTGCAAGATATACAAAGATCAAATTTATCTTTCAAATGGAATCACATTAATTTTAATGAATTAATCGATAAAAAAGAATATTAAGCCGCTTAATTTTAATTTTAATATTTTTCATAAAAATTTATGGATTATTTTGACATCAGAGGGAGATATTTAATTTATTCGTATGCTTGAGATACGAATAAACATTTTGCTATACTTTTATGGAAAGACAAAGATAAAGAGGAATACGTTCGATTAATTATACTTTTCAAGTAAAAAGCTCTTCCCGAGTATTCTGAAATTTTTACGAAACTCATTTGATCTCGCAGACGATTAAATTTTGTTAACAATAGCGTGAAACGAATGAAAATCGTAAATGAAACTCGATACCACTGTGTAATTAACAACAAGTGAGATTTTAATTATTAGGGTAGAGCGAGTGGAAAAACGCTTTCCGTGCAAGTGGATTTTCATTGTATTCGCGGGCGAGCTTTGCGACTGAGCTTTCGCATTTTCTTTTCACGGCTTGTGCTGTGCATTACGTCAATTTACGTTTGAACATACTTCAAACGGGTTGGAATGTTTCAAATCAGACTTCCGCGCGCATTTTTGTTGGCACGCGTACGCGCTCTCTCGTCTGTGAAATTTTATTAGTTCATTATTTCAAAAGATCAAGATCGTAACAATGGTTAAAGATAGTAATAGATTAAGTCACATATACTCATTTTCAATTAATAATTTTTAATATATTATCATTATTCATTTTAATATAATTTTATTACAGGGATATATAAAAGAATAATCAATTCGATAAAACCACGTTGACTTAATTAATTTTTTTTAGCTTATGCAGAGAGGGAAATAATATAATAAATTATTATAAGTTATTTGAATATTAGAAAAGGTAATTTATTTATTAGCACGAAAAATATTGATTTAAGAGAATCAATGTAAAATGATGGATTGTAGATGAGAACATTTTATAAAAATATAAGAAAGCATTATTTATATTATTTGTTTACGATAAGCAAAATAAAAATGATTTATTTCTTGAAAAATTAATTTGAGAATATTTATTTTCCAGAATTTATCTTCGTTAAAAATCAAATGAGTTGCAAGTATTTTCATATTTTCTCTTTCGTTTTCAGATAATACCATTGCTGGTACTGAAAGCATGCGTGCTCTTAGCTATTCCTACCTTATGCTTTCATAGATTTTTTTTCACCAAAATTGAAATTCAGTAAGTTTAACCAATAATTCATAATCGTTGTAAATTAATTACATTCGGAAAGGGATCATCGAGTAATCGTGAATTTTATTTGCGCAGGATACGCGGTCATCGTCGTTTCGAGATAACGTCTCCTCCAGGATTTTACGATCTACGAAATCCTCGAGTGCTCAAGGTAAGTGAAACCTTTGATCGATCTCTTTTGTGGATTTGTAAATACCGGAAAATCGAGTATCGATTTCTGAAACGATAATAGACAAATTGCCTCGAGGAAAAAATAATTTTCAACAAGTTTTTTTTTTATTTTTTTCCGGAAAAAATTAAATTCGATCGATAAGAAAGTGCTTTGTTTTACCAACGATCGATAAACAATTGGAATAGATAACGTAGTTTTCGCGTGGGAAAGATAAAATTCTTTGAAAATGCGATTGGTTTTAAAGTTTAAAAAGGGCGAATTGGATAATGTCATTGCTCTTTATTATATAATTATCATTAATTCGTCATTTTAATTAAATTACAAGTTTTAATCTCCGTCTACACTTGTTATGAATTTTTATACCATATCATTATAGTCGTGTAGCAGTATAAACGATAAACGTTGTTAACCATATATCAATATGGAAGTAAGCTGAAAGTTATAATGGTGTAATCGATAGAAAATGGAACAGTGCTATAATTTCGCATTATTTTAAGTTACTTGGTATAAATTATCTCAACATACTAGTTAGAAATTAAAAAGACATAAAGAAAGCTATTTTTTTCTTAAATATTAATTTAATAAATATGAATTTCTCAAAATATAAAATGATTCATGTTATCATAATTTAGTTCTCTTATCAAAAAAAATAATGCATCCAAATAATAAGGAAAGTCCACTAACCTGTAAATTCAAAAAATTATGAAACTTTGAGATCATATAAAGTATGTATATACGGAATATTAATAAATTCGTAAGAGACTTTTGGAAGGTCGATTTTAGAGGCCAAAATAAACACAAAGTTATGCAAAAATATTGAAATTTTAAGTTTGAGCTTGCAAGACAAAATTATAAAAAAGATAAATCGAAACAACTCTATCTTCGTTATATCATTTTGTCTCGGTTCGTCCAATGAAAACTTCAATTGTACATCATTTAATAAGCCTCGATCGATATTTTTGTGTTTATGTTAGTGATTAGAACTTTTAGAAATATTCGAACATATTGACATTTTATATAATATATAATTTTTTTTTATGCTATCTAAATTCACTTTACAAGAGTTGTAATATTGATTTTGTTGAAAGTGAACAATGACGAAATTATGAAAACAAGATGGCGAAATTTGAACAATATGAAAAGATCTCTAACAGATTAAAATTTATATTATATTGATTAGTTGTTTTTTAACTTTATTTCTTAATTTACAAAATCTATCAAAATCTATCGATTGTTTAATCGATTAAATAATATTATAAATAAAAATAATAATTTTTTTTTCAAATCGAATTCTATACAATCTACATTGATCGTTTAATAGTTTAAGATTAATTTGAAAATCATTTTAGTTGAATCAATTGAAATGTTTGTTAAATATCAAATACCAAAAGAAGAGTAATACTAAAATTAAAAGATAGAAAAATTTCTTTTTTTAATTGAAAATTGCTTACTCATCGTTGTTTGTGTACTACGATTATCGAAGGACAACGAGCCCATTTTTATTAATAACAATATTTCATTAATAACAATATACATTACAAAAAAAGAATTTAATCATTTTATAATCTTTTAATTTAACATTGATAGATTTTCTTTTTTAATTCCATAATTAAAAATTGAAACTGAAAGATAAACGAAAGATACCAATCCCCAAGCTTAATATTCAAGAAAATACGACATGCAAATACAATATAAGTAGAATAATTTTTAAATCCTTTTAAGTAATTAAATATATTGAATTCTTCGGATTAATTTAAAATAAAACATTTATGTATTAATTTATCTTTACAAAAACTGATAAATAACCTAATTCGAAGATTAATTTCAATAAATCTGAATATTACGTAAACAATACGTATTTCCAATATTTTATAATTTTCTAAATCGAAGATTTTTTCTCTCGACTGAAAGTATCGCAGTAACGCTCCCTCCCCTTTATTCCATCATTTCAACCACGCGTGGAATTGATATCCTCCTCGTCCATTAAAACGCATCCTTCATTCCGATATAAGATAAAATTATAAATCGTTGTACACATTCCATTATTGAATACTTAATCCCCTCCACCAATCAATCCATAACAATCCCATATTCCAAACTGATCTATCAATATCCCTCGAAAAATCCTATAAATAACTATCCGAATAAATTAAAATATTAATTATACCAATACACTTTATATTGATTTTACATTAATTTTAATCCGAAAAATTGAGATAAAAATTTCGATCGATCGACGATCCACGACGATCGAACGAACCCCAGAAGAGAAAGAAGAGGAGGACACGATCCCCTCTTTCTCCATCACAGAATTTCGCTTGGATATATATGAGAGAGAGAGAGAGAGAGAGAGAGAGAGAGAGAGAGAGAG